CCAATTTGTGACATGTTTTCTCTGTAAATATAAGTCAGTTCTTTGTCTAGTGCACCTTCCAAAATAACTTAAATGTATGTAGGATTAGCAAAGAGATCAGTTTTCTTTCCATATCTATTTTGGGCTCATAGTACAAGCACCACCTCCTCCAAAATCCTTGGGTGTATCTCCATAGAATCTCCAAGCTGACTGCCAAATTGCAGTTTTAATAGCAAATTGGTAAAAGCAGGCAAAGTAATAGTATTAACTGTATTTAATTGCTTTGTATTAAATGTTAAAGTACAGTGCACTTTCACCTTATGTATGTGTGACTAACCCAGTCACTTTTTGCAAAATGGCTTTCAGCATGTACATTTTAATGTAGTTTGGATCCAGATTAATCCTTAAAGCTGACCATTTGAAGCAAATAAAGAGATTCAGAAAATTAACTTTGATTTATTCCTATACATTTCCTCTGGGGGTAATTAAATTTAGAGTCACAGATACAATTATTGAGTGTAAAGTTTTGAAGATACCTTGGAGATCATATAGCTCAATATAATGCTGGTAACATTAGTACAACTTGAAATCAGAGTACAATTCAATATATGTTAAAGTGTTGAGAAAGCTAAGGGGAGACAGGATAATGGACCTCAAATATTTGAGGTGGGCAATAGTGTGTCAATGTTTTCTCTATAGCTCCTGCGGATAAGGAAGTGCTGGGCAGAAGCTTTACAGGGGGAAAACCAAATTCAAAATAAGGAGAAATGTCCTGATTGTGATAATTATTAAGCAGGGGAATAGCCTAACTCTTGGAACCATGAGTACAAATGGTTGGAATGTGTGATCAGGCACATGTACCACATATACAGTATTCCCCAGTATTGCTGCAGAGAGGAAAAAGTGGATAGAAAGCAAATTAATTGGGAATACTCCTGAATTTTGCTCTTCCTCAGAGAGCCTGGATAGTTCCCTAATTCTCTAACATTGGAGCAGGTCCATTGGAATGACAAAATATCATATCTCATGTCATATAATGCCAGCATTCAGAAACTAGACTTGAGGAGAACAAGAGGACATTTGGGGGAAGCCATAAGGTAACAAGAGTGGTTTTGGGCTTTTATAACATTCAATAAATAAAAGCTCATTTGCTCTTTTCAGAAACCTATATACAGAGGTTCTCATGGCATCAAAATTCTCTTCTGTGTGGAATTTTGGAATCTTGTGGTAACCTTCTATTCTCATGGAAGTTGCATATGCAAAGGTTGAATTATTGCCAAAATACACTCATTGATGATACAAAATATACTCATTCACTAGATAACATGGGGAACATCTGAAGGAAAACAACACAGTTCAGCCATGCATCCATACCATGTGCTATGACAGCCACATATGATTATCTTAAAAAGGGCTGAATGATAACTAAGATGTATAATGTAGGTTTAAGAAGTAAAAGTGCAGGGGTTTGTGCTGGCCACATCTTTCATTTTTGAACCAAGTTCAGAAAGCAACCTATTTTAATAGTGCTGATCATTCAGTGACATTCACAAAAACAAAACAAAGGCCAAAAATAAGAATAAAAGATGGCACACAACATGAACTGGACCACACTGTAAAAGAGCTCAGTTTTTAACATCCTTTTACAAGTCATTGGAGATGGGTTTACTCTGATCTTCCTGGAAAGATTGTTCCAAAGCATGGGAACTACCCCTGAAAAAATATACTATGCCATCTCCTTCTGATACCTGGACCTGATCTTCAGCTGAAAATGGTACAGATAATCTGCTTCTTCTGGGGTGCAGTGTTGTTGATATGACACAACTGTATCAACTGTATTCCCAAGAAAAGGGAGGTTGAAGACCAGCCAATAGAACAAACCAGGAATGGCTTCAGAAATGGACATACCACAGCCTCCTTCAAGACTGTGGCAATCCCCCTCCCCATAATGAAGTGTTAAATGTCTCTCATATCCAAGTGTGACATGAAATGTATGGGGAGATTGCACTTCATTGACAAATTTGCCCAGTCAGGTTGTGGTTATGAACATAGGTCTGCCATTTCATACATTATCAAATCATGAATGAAAGTGGTCCTATTGCAGAATAACCTAGCATTAACCTTAGCACCTTGTGGCCAAGTAATCCAGAAATTAGGCCACCAGGCTCCAAGAATGCAGCAAACAGGTCAGATGTTCGCTGCTGTTCTTCCAACAACAACATGTGAAAATTCTCAGCAAGTAAAAATATTACAGTTCTATAAAAGTGATAATTATCTGCCATTCTCAGATAATGAAGAGATAGTATTTATTGACATGTGCATTTTGAAAGGGTCAGCAAATTTTGTTTTCTAAGAGTTTTATATTTAAAATTGTCATGTTGCTCCATTTATTGATTCTCTCTATGGGGGAGGAAAGCAAATATTAGCCTAGCCTTAAAATAATCTAGCAGTGTCTAGGCTGAAATTTAAGAGTACATGTAATTGACTGATATCAGGAGTCTGTATAAATAAAGAAGCAAAATTTAGTGTTTGTGGGTGGGTGTATGTATCTGTATGAAGTGTACATATACATGTTTCATACATACACACATGTATACACATCTCACCATTTGGAAAAAGACTCTTATTGCCCTGAGTTCTGCATGCTAAGAAATATATTTTAAAAACATAAAAGGAGAGTACAGATAAGTTCAGGTTTGCAGTGACCATGGTCTGTGAAAATTAACCAGGGATACTAAACTTCAGAAGCATGTGCTTGTTTTTAAAGATTTCAGAAGAGACTGTGGCCTACATGATAGAACCTTTAATGCTGAAGCTGCATTTCAGCTGAATTTATTCAAAGGTTGCCCACTGATCCTTGTTTATCTGCCTTTGGTGTTTTTAGCTGTTAAATGAACAAACTTAAATTCTTTTGTACAGATGAGAATGAGTGATTTAACTATTTTAAATGGAAGAATATGTGAGTTCTGAAAGAACTTATACCGATTATTGAATTATTTATTTTGGTCTTTCCCTAAGATGCCTCATCAAATCCTACGGAAGAGCACATTTCTTTGTTTGTGTGCTAGTTTTCTATTCCACTTTTCCTTCAGGTGGTCAAGATGATTTCAGTGGAGATCAGGGTTCATTTCCCCCCCCCCCATAAAATCAATTCTACAAGGGTAGGTTGGATTAAGAGTGAGATAATTTGTGATGTAATAAAAACTATCTGTTGGTTTCAAAAGAAAAAAAATACCACATATGTACATTATCTATCAATATTTGTACCAAACTAATTGTAGTGTTTGTCTGTTTTCATATGCAATAAAAGTTCCTTCAAGTTGTGCTCAATTCCTTCTGTTCTAGATCTATCAGTATAATTTTCTTCAAGGTCAGAGACAGTGACAGATGGCTACTTTCCACTCATACCAACATATTTATTCTTTAATGGTTTACCAAGCTCAATCCAATTTAGCTTCCAAATCCAGAGACAATCATGCACTCAATGAAAGTTACCATCCTCCCTATCTGTTATCCAGTTTTTCTGTCATTCTCCATTTATTAGAAGGGAGGCCTTTGGGCTACAGGAATCTCCAAGCAGAAGTCTACAAGTAGAGGCAGGCTCAGATGACCTTGCTAATAGATAAACAAGAATAGGGTCAAGACAAATCATGTAACTTGGGGAAAGTAAAGATACAGAAGTATAGCCTTTCACAGGGTTGTCTGCAGGGAGACTGTACAAAAGGTCAATATGGCCTACAGGTCCGTGTATCACAGCTTTGCCCCTGTTTTATGTGTGTTATTAATGTGATAATATTTTAAATAGATAGGACTTCTATCACACAATGACACCTATTAACTTGACTTTTTTGACCCCTGTGTATTTGTCCAAGATCTTTTTAAGCAACAGTTTATACTTATGGAGGGCATAAAAGTCAATATAATGTATGCAAGAAGGAATAAATAAAAAGATAAAAGGCTGTTTAGGGATTTAAAATGAGGAGACTTTATTCACCCTAACAATGGACTCTTGCTCATTGCCAATTTAGAGCTTCTGAAGTTAAAATTAACTATGCTTAAATTTGTGGTCATTGTGACTTGGAATCAAATATACTGACAGGATTAAAATGTTTTCAAATGCTTCTTCAAAAGCCTTGCCTTCAAAGGTCTAGGCATTTTTCCTCAAGGGAAAAAATAAATAAAAACAACTATAAAAAGCAGAGAAATTTCCTACCATTTAAGTAATAGACAACTTCTTGTTTTTTATAATTCTCTCTTCTTTGTCCAGATAAAACATTCTACCTATAAATTTATATTTGCTATGTATCTCCTAGTATTTTAAGGACCATATAGGGAATCTAGAGTTATAATATGAGCACATAAACAAAAAGGTAAAGGATAGTGGAATCCTTTAGATGTTACATTTATAAATATCCATAACATTAATGAAATCCCTTGTTTTTTTCCACTAAAGTTCTCTGAGGACATTATTTAGAAAAAGGATGCTGTACTGTCCTTGCAGAAGGAGAAACATAAAATTATTTTAATTTGATCTCTTTAACTAAAAACAACATTTGTTGGTAGAATTAAACACACTTTGGGGTTTGTATGAATATAAAATTAGGTCAAACAACTTCCTTCTCATTCCACACACAAAAAAATATGTTCTACAATGGTCATAAAAGGACACAAGTCTGTATGCTACAGATATATAGGACTTCATATTTTGAATAGCAACTCTGATTCATATAATTTGGAAATATTAAAGCTGAACAAAAATGGTTTGGGTAAGAAACCTCAAGTTTTAAATCTGAAAAAAAGACAGGAGGCAAACAGTGATGCTAACTTGTGCCAGATAATCTTAGCTCCAATATTGGTACTGTTTTGGTCATCCAAATGTAGTGGGTATCTGTAGTCTTCAGCAACCCAGTAGTGAGCATGAAGTCAGTGCAATGCAGGAAAGTGCAAAATAGCTACAGTGCAGAATGTAGATGAAATAAGAGGTGAGCTGAGATGCTAGCAAATTAGAAGAAAACACTTACTTGACATTCTATGGATGTTTGCAAGGGAATAAATTCCATGTCTATAGCTCTTGATCTTCCTCCTCCTGCAAAACCACAAAACTTTGATTAGTACTGGACATTTTTCCCTTGGCTGGTGTATGTCAGAGATTAAATTCTGTTAATAACTTCTTCTGTTTTTTTTTCCTTTTCAATATAAGAGAGAGAAAGAAAGAGAGAGGAAAATTGTAAAACATCGAAGTACCCAAATCAAGAGGGAAAGAATCATATAAACAAAATTGATTTTGATTGCTCAAAAGTCCAATTCTTTGTCCCTTTAACAAACAAATGAAGATAATCTAATTCAAATATACAGACCAAATGTATCAGTGACCTAAACTGCAAGTCAGGAATAGCTTTATCCCTTCAATGATGTTTAATTATTCTTTTGACCAACTCTTATGCTTAGATATCCACAATTCCTCACGTCTTAAGAATGTCAAATACTATGTATAAAGCCATGGGCAAACGTAATTGGTTTGCATCCAACAGTTTGGATGTTGTACTAGATTATAAGTAACAGCCAGTATTTGAGGTTCTGCTTTTCTAAACATAATTGTTTTCACTGTTTTAATAAGTTCTGTAGAATAATAAAAATGACAGATGAAGTTTGGTAAAATTAATGTTTTATTTTTTAAAAAAGTTACACAATATAATTTGTCACTGATTAACTTGTCATCAGTAAAGAGGTGAAAAAAACATACCCAATATATATTCATTTGAAAATTTAGAAATATAATCACATGTCATTCAACCTGTTTTTATCAAATACAAGTCTCAAAAATCAAGTCTGATTTTCTTTCTGTTGAAAGACTAATCAGAAGTATAAAGACAATTAGGTTAAATAGTTCAACCTCTGCACATTAAAAAAGACATTGATTGGCATTTTAAGTTTAACATTAACATTGTCCAAGATTTTCTTGGACTAAAAGCATTTAAAATATAATTAAATGTAATTCTATATACACACTGGGAAATCATCTAAGCTAGAATTGCAGGAGTCAGTCAGTCTCTCGATTTATCTATATTAGTTCTATCCTTCTCAAAATAGTACTAATTAATATACATTACACTAGCACTAACCAGAAGAATGAAGATCATGAAAGAAAACCTAATATTCTCTAAATTTATCTCTTTTCAGAAATTCAGTTTTTATACATGAGGGCAAGTTCTATAGGAGGGGCATCAACACTCAGCTCTAGCCCAGGGATCCTACAGAACTTACTAAATCAATTCTGATGAATTAATATGTACCAAGTCAGATATAGATTGATAGCCATAGGTGGTGGCCTATTAGAAGTTTCATTAAGAGTATTATTTTGTTTGTTTTGACAGTATTTGCTTAACAGTATTTGTGTGGAAATTTATTTTCTCATTGATAGAAACTCTGTACCCATGCAGATTGTTATCTTTATTTGTAGATCTATATTATGTGCATGAATGGTATGGGATTCATTTCCACCTGTTTTAGGAAAGCAAGTTAAAAACATTGCACAAGAAAGGAAAACTAAGCCACAGAAGTTGAGACCCATCAGCTTTCATATTCCTCAAAAGTTTTTATGGAAAACTCAATGAGTCTTTTGCTCATTCCAAATCAAAATACATCAAGAACTATAGGTAGTATGGTAAAGTGATTGCACAGACTAAGGAAAGACATTTTAAGCTTCTACCCTACCTCTAAACCATGAAAGCTCATTAGATTATTTTGGACCAGTCATTGTCTTTCATCTCAGTTTACTTTGTAGGATTATTGTTTGGGGAGTAATTAGTGGAACACGTATTAAGTACATCAGCCTTAACTCCAAGAAAAAATGTAGTATGTAAACCTAACAGCTAACAATAATAATAACAACATGTGATTTCTGGAAAACACCATTTCTACTCAAGTTATTGTGCAGATTAAAATTGCTCTCAGAGAAAAGAGGTGAAATAATATCATTGTGCCTATTTCAAAAGAATTATCAGGGGTTCAACCAGAAAATATCAGGGGCATCTGATAATAAGATGCAGTATAATCCATGTGTCAATCTTTAATTACAATCTTTAATTCTGAACTGGTTTCAAAGAACCTGATTTAGCATAACAATAATATCTAACCAATGAGGAATTGCACTCATAATCTATATATTATAGTTCCTTCAGATTTAACAATGATGAAAGCCAACAATTTAAAAATATTCCCTGAGGGCTCTAATAATCCCTAAAGGAAGTGTTTTGTTAAATTAATTAAATTTTACATCATAAGGAACAAATTTTCAATTCCCTTAAAACTTGAGGCTATTGACTATGTACTATAGAATACTCCAATTCTCCATTCCACATTTCTTGTATATTGTGCACATTTATTATTATTCTTTTTAAATTTGGGTAGTAATAAATTGTCAATTTAGTTTTAATAAAACCTTCTCTAGCAAACTTAATGCCTCTGGCACTTGAGAAGTCACAAGGCCATCAGGGCCAAACAGATGTTGATAACAAGTGTTTTAACTGGATATATTGCCGTTGAGCCTTTCTAGATAAATTATGTTCCTTTTGTACAATCTCAAAGGTTTCAAGTAGCATTACTTATGAAGAGTAATGATTCCATTATAAGCCCTTGTTTCTTTCTAAGAAAAAAAAACTTGTTATGAATGCTTGCATCCAGGTTCTCAAATCTTGAAACATAATTAATTGAGACAACAAAGCACATGTTTAAAAAGGGAGAGCTTCTACAGATCCTTTCTCAAAATGCCTTTGAAGTTACCCATTATTAACGTCTCTGTTCTTCCTGTGGCTCTGCCCTATCTTAACAGATACATATTAACACCAATAGCTGTATATCTTACACATCTTAATATTCCCAACCAGAGAAGATCCCTCACCTTGGCCCAATGTAATGCACTACCTTCAGCACTCCTAGCTGGAATATACAAAAAAGTTACCATACTCTTTACGACTATGCCCTTGTGACTCAGGACATGTAGAAACAACTGTACATGTTCTTTTGTACTGCCAGTTTTACACAGCATCCTGAAATGCCCCAATTGCCCCATTCCTGGCTAGTAAAACAGGTCGAAGTGACCAGTAATACAAATAATTCTTACTTTCTGATATTAATCTTTAAAAAAACAAAAAAGACTCTCAGGCTCTGTGCAGTAGCATACAAAGAATAATTAAAAGCAATTGAACTTGTTTGAGCAGGCAATGGCTCTGCCGCAGCATATAACAAATAACCCAACTGGTCATTTTTTTTCAGTGTCACATCCTATGCAGCTGATCGTTCTAGCCCAGAATGACATTAAAGTTCAAAACTATAAGAGAATTTTGAGTTATTATCCCATAAAAGTGAGTCACTTTACATATTTACTGACTTATTTCATGCATGTTGCAGAAATTTATAGAAATGAGAGAGAATGATTTAAAAATTAATGCAAACAGAAATAGCAAAACTTTAGAACTATCAATTCTGGCCTGCAAAATCCAGGTGTCTACCAGATGGCAAGAATGCATTCAGTTTGCTGCTAACTAGTGATTCTAAAGTACTGAATTGCAACTCAGATAAGGCAGCCCTACTATAGAATAAAGTTTAACCACTTCATTATGTTTACCTTTCCTTGAAATGGTGGTGAGATTTCTTTTAGCTGTGACATACAGTATGTGTATATCAAGAGATTCTTAACCTGCCTTTTCCCTGTCTACTTGTCTGATCTCAGGTATCTTCATTTCCTTTGTGTATTTGTTCAGCCTTCATGATCCTCTGATAACTAGAGTGAAAATGTCTTAGTAAATTTGACATATATGGCAAAGTGAATCCCATCTTATTGGTAAGAAATATAGAGTTTTTAATAATGTCTGGTAATAGCCCTGCTTTAAGATTTCTTGTTCCAACTGCTAGACATCTCTATTAAAGAAATCTAGCACTTTATATTGACTTTCAATCTAATCCTACACTTAAATTCTCTGTAATTTCCACTAAGATCAATTTCAATTGTTCCAAGGTAAGTATTCAGAGAATTAGTATACTTACATTAATGACATAGACTGAGTGTATTCTGTGATCCTGCATGCAACCAGAATGAAATGAAGCATCTCAAACTACACACTGTGATTTTTTTTTTTTTTAAAAAAAAAAGCTTGTAGTTTTTAGGATACAAAAAGTCTTAAGAGAGACAATTTCTCCTGCAACTTATTCCCAGCATTTTTATGTTGTTTCTTTGCTCACTTTCTGTGTGCCAAAACTAGTGCTGGGATTTTAAGGGATGAAGTGGGTGCCTTATCTATTTGGAAGGTTTAAGTCATCCCTAAAATGAAAAAAGGACCCAAATTGAGGGCACCAATTACTCCGAGAGCCAGAGAAATGAACATGGCCACAAAAGATCTGCGTCAAATTTTTTGCACTTCTTTAGTAACCTATCTATTATCCAGGCCATTATCCTAGATGGAAGTTCGGAACTAACTTATATCACAGGGACTAGACTAAGAGAAAGGGTAGAGTGCAACTCCCAGCTCTATTTCTCAACCTCTTCTATAATGAGAACAAGCTAAGACTGAAGGATAGGAAGGTCAATTATTGTGATCCATAGAAATTCCATCTCATTGACCAGATGCTCCATCACAGACTCTGCCAATTTTGAGTGAATGCTGCTGTGTTCAGATTGCCAGGACAGTATATGAATACTATTATGTTTTTAAAAATAATAATTTGTATTGGAATTTTATATAAAATACAGGAGTGATCGCTCAAAATTGGTAGTCTGTGATGAAGCATCTGGTCAATTATACACAGACACACATGCACATATGCACACACAAACACACACATTCAGCAAAAATATATTAAGAGCTACTAGAAATAAATATATATGTGTGTGTGTATGGACACAAATATATGGATATATCCACACGCATATTATAAATTTCATATTTTTTCTTTACTTTACACAGTTCTTCATCATTTTTTTCTCTAAAATCACAAAGGAAAAGAATTATCTGTTAAAGAGGGAGACATAACTAAGGCAGAGCAGTGGTGGGATTCAGCCGGTTCACACCACTTTGGCAGAACCAATAG